AGCAGAATGAAGCCGTAAGTATCAAAAGACTGCAATTCTAAAAAAGATACCGATGAGAATAGAACTGTTTCACTTGTATCATTTTCCTCACGACTTATCATCCAATCCAGTAAACTTGCATGTATATCGCCCACAACCAGTTTGAAACGTACGCTTTTCGGGCTCATGTTGAGTTACTGCGACGATCCAGAGTTGAGAGAATACTTCGGCCGGCTTAACCCAGGCCCCAAGGCTAGTAAAATGTTGCGGTAGCTTATGGTAGTGCTGCCAACGAAGAAGAGGGCGATAGGAATGGTGACTCGAGCATTATGAAAACGGTACCAGCTGCAATGCCAGCTATGACTGTCACATTTACGGTCAGATTCAAGCGTTAGTTAGAGAAACTCTTGCTTGATTTTGCTTGATTTTATGTATTTCAGCAGATGAGAGGTCCCTGAGAAACTTGTTCTTATACGATAGTGCCACACTCGGGAAACGGTTTTAAAATGAAGGGAAATCTTGCGGGGAAAACAATGAGCAAAAACATCTCGCCTGGAAGCCGTGCCAGAGAAAATACAGAATCCAGTACGCGGAAATATTAAAGCACATCGCTAAATCCGACCAGCAAAACGTGTTTGTCTCACTCATTCATCCGTAAGATTACGTAGTTTCAGAGTAAAACATGAAAATACCAAGAGTTGTGTGCTAAATGTGAGACATGCCCGCTTGCATAATACAAAGGCTAGTTCGTCGAGAGACTGGATGAATGCTTCTGCGGATCTCGAAGCCGAAACAATGTGTCGCTGGACCGTAGTGTGCATATGTAGTATCCCCGATTGAGAGAACAATAGTGCGAATATAATTCCTCTGTCAAGAGGAACAAATACAAACCTCATTGAAAGTCGGAACAAACTGCGACAAAAAGTCAGCCATGACCGTGCTGGGCAGTCAGCACAAGGCAGTTGAAAATACTATGTGATCGGCTGATATAGGTACGAGTACATAGCATACGAGGTTATCAAGCGTCCTGTTGTCCTCACCGACACTTTGCATGCTGCAAATCATGAATAAAACAACAAACTGTTGACTTTCACAAATGATTCCAGTTCCATGCATCGCTTAAATCTTGTTGCAAAACATGTCCTAACCCACGTTCTTGCAATGAAGCAATTTGCAAGATAAGTTTTGCAATAATGCATGAAGAGCCAATGACAATGGTATTTATCCATCAATAACGGGAAAAGATCACGTCGCATTTTGCATAAAAAAGGGAAGCACCAAGCACTGACATCTCTACATTCTATTTGCATATCTATTCTCTAAGTAAAATTGCATTGATTCAATCTGGCCGTCTATTTTTATTGCAGTGTCAGCGTCAGTTGTGGGAAGTGCCGAGGGATGACGGGCAGAGGGCCGTTTCAATCACCATGCATCGTCCGACATCGACCAAATTAATCTGCAAGGTCAATCTCAGTCGGCCGTTAAACGGCCATCGCTCGCGTCTGCGGCCTGTCATCTGCCCCCCCCCCCCCTCCCTCCCCAGCCGCCTGTCTCCATCGGATCTGGACTCCATTATTGGCTGCCGCGTCACCACTTAACCTATTACCTCCTCCATCATTGAGCGCGGCCTGAGAAGACCAGCCGAGCGGGATGAGGTCGCCGCTGGCCAATTATCATACATTGTGCAGATGTGGCGCCGGTATCTCGCTCCGGTGGCCGGCTGACACCTAATCGCGCCCCAGATAGACCATGTTGGGGATTACACGACGTAATTACACCTTGTCCGGCAGCTAGACGCTCGCTGATAATGTCGGTAACGGTAGCAGACGTCACAGTTAGTTGACAAACACTATTGCCAAACAGCCACTAACAACCCTCTACAAATGGCTGATAAAGTTTGCTGCCAAGTGCCAGAGCATAAGCAATAACAAAACAGTGAACGACATTGCTGTTGTATGCTCTCAAATCTAATGTCGTAGGATTTTACATCATTACAATGGGATTGGGCATCTGATATGCCTAATTGTCGTTGCTCCATATCTTTGGATAAGTGAATACAGTGATATTAACTGAGCCTCTCGCAGTAGGTACCTACAAAAAGAAAAAAATCCACACTCTCTATGTCCAGCACTCAGAAGGTAATCTGCCTGAAAAAAAGATACCATTGCACTGCGGTTTTACAGAAAAAGTACGAAAGAGAAACAAAGTTGCAACACTGAGTGAAAAGACCATAGCCCTACTTGAACCCTCCATTCACAAAACAAGAAATCATCGAATCAGCCAATGCTGCCATACTAAGCGACCCCTTATCCCTGAGCGCTTCCCGGCCTGTCGTTTCCATACTTCACTCCCACCAAACGCAGTACTGGGGCCGCGCTCCGTGCCGTGTGTGACAGTCGCCGATGTGCTGTGTGTGGCAGTCGCCAATGTGCCGTGTGTGTGACAGTGGCCAATGTGCCGTGTGTGACAGTGGCCGATGTGCCGTGTGTGTGACAGCCGCCAATGTGCCGATGTGTGTGACAGTCGCCAATGTGCCGTGTGTGTGACAGTCGCCAATGTGCCGTGTGTGTGTGTGTGACAGTTGCCGATGTGCCGTGTGTGTGACAGTCGCCTATGTGCCGTGTGTGTGACAGTGGCCGATGTGCCGTGTGTGTGACATTTGCCTATGTGCTATGTGTGACAGTCGCCAATGTGCCGTGTGTGACAGTGGCCGATGTGCCGTGTGTGTGACAGTGGCCGTGTGTGACAGTCGCCGATGTGCGGGACAGGTGACGGACCGTGCCCAGTCACCGTCGCCAGCGGCGGCCGGTCGGCCGTCAGTTCAGACGTTTGTCTTGGCACCGCAGACCAACTCGACCGACTAGGGTGTGGGGGGGGGGGAGGGGAGGGGATGGTTCACGGCAGCTGCAGTCAGAGACGGCAGTGGTGCAGAGCTCGCTTTGGGAGGATGAGGTTTGGTAGAGAAGAGGACGATTGAATAGTTCAATACAGCCGTCCAAACAGCATGCGACAGGCACGTTTGAATAATTAATTGGATAGCTTCTATCGAAGGCATCCCTTGGCCCACAGAGTGAATATTTTTAAGTCAAAAACATTGAACTTCGAGGCCCCATGCCATTTTCACTGAAGCCGGAACCTTAAATGAAAAAAGATAAAAATAATGGGTTTTCGTGGCACCATTTACTTTGCCTTGACATTTTGAAATGTCAGTCGGTCGTCCTACTGGAAAGCGGCACCGAATCACCATCGAACCAAAAACTATTTTCAAAACCCCACTCAAATACAAAAGCCTATCGCATACCGACATTGGCAGCGATCTAAGCTCAACTTTTCCCAGCCACTCAGCCGCCGCATTAGACACAGGTTGTCGATGTGTCTCTGCGTCTATCAGTCACACCCTACTCGTGTGTTTGCCGACTGCCAGAGCCGGACAGTGGGAGGCGACGGAGCGTGGACGGATGAACACCAGACGTCGCCGGTGCCGACACCCGACCGTCGGCCGGAGACAGCCGGTACACGGCGTCTGTGACCGTCACAGCAGACCGGGAGCAGGGGACATGGGACAGGCGAGCACAGACATGAGACGGTGAGGACAGGGACAGGCTCAGAAGTCGGCGTACTCAGCAAGCTAAGTCAACGTGTTCAAGGATAAAATGGAAAAGTTTCAACTTCCACCTGTACAAGCGACAGCGGAGCAAGAGACTGCTCCAATCGAACGCTATGAACTCCTCCGTCTGAGCTGGGCTTTTGACAGTCCCATGGCTGCCACAAGCGAGCAAAAGACACTGATCCTTCCTAACAGGATCAGTCAGTGTCAGGGCACCGTGGAACCCTGAGCGACTCCGCGGACCCGGGCTGGGCGTTGACCCGCCCAGGGTCGTCTGTTTCACCCCGAGCTGCAGGGCGCGGTGTGCCGGCCGCCGGCCGCCTGTATATTTAGTGTCTGTGGTGTTTATTTATAGCGCTGCTCTTCTCACCGCCGCGTCGGTCAGTCGTAGAAACAAAGCCTGGCAAGCTGTAACGGCGGCCACAGCGGTCCGGCCCGGAGCCGACCGATGACCAACGTTTCATCACGACCGGCCCGTCACGAGACACATCACGACACGGTCATGATGACACGTCAGGGTGACGGTCGGCCCATCAGTGACACACCACAGGAAGCCGTACAGACACATCAGAACAACAGACGCCTCGTCAATGCTGTCAAATGACGGGACGGCCGTACGGACTCATCAACTCGGCGGACAGCTCGTAAACGTCTCATGACGGGACCGGGGACACCCACTAGTCTTCGTAAGTTACGAAACTGATCAGGTCATGTCCAAGCGGTCAATGGTCGGAAGCAAAACAAAATTGCATCTGGCGGCTAAACTCCTGGCATCAGCATAAGGAAGCTAAATCATGAACCCCAAGCATACTGGAGATATGCGTAGCTCATCAGTGGCTAGGCATAACGCAAACGAGCATAAATCTGATGTTTATAAAAGCGTTAATTGCTGAAATCACTGATCAGATCACTCAGCCGTTGTAATATGGCCCGAATCTCACTTTCTCAGAAAATGTCAGAAGTTCGCTCGCGTTTACCACGCACCATATAATCCTTCGTTTCGGGCCAACTTTACGAGCCATGGAAAACAATCGCCTACTTCAGGAGCACATTCAAGCACCACGGACTTTCAGATTCTTTGTCGCAGAACGAGCTACAGACCACTTGAACTTAAGGGAAGCTGGGTAAGTGGGCTTAGCTCGTCGGCAATAGCAAACCGATGACTGACCCTTATCAAGGCCGTTCAAATCGCGATCAAGCCATAGAGCTTTGAAAATAAACAGCACACTGAAAACAAACCGATGGTAGGTAATAGGTAATGTATATGTAGGTGGCAAGGATTTGAGTATGTTCCCCTGCCTGCCTGCTACAAGACAAACGGTCAGCAACGACGAACTAAAAATCAAAATGCTACGCACATACCAAAGTACAATGTTACGAATAAAGTAACTCGCGAATATTTGACGATCCTTACCTGTTTTCTCTTTGATCTCCATCAGGACGGAGAAGAGGGCATTCTTCATTCGATGACAGTTCAATGTGTGCTTTCGAGAGAATTCCGTACTGAAATAAATAATAAAAGGCGTCAGTGAACGAGCATACGCACACAAACGCACATTTACATGGTGCGTAACAGGAACGAAAAGCATTTAACCTGTAAGAGGATCGACTGATCCACGCCCTATGGAGACGCGATTCAAGGGCCGGAATTATTTCGTATTTCAGCCCACAGATGGCACTAGAGGCGTACGCCTGAAGCTATGCTGTGCCGCATAGCCCGGAGCCTGGTGCATACTCTCCATTATTGCAGATGACGGAATGACACTACAATACTCGTCTACAGGGCTCCGTAAAAGGCGGAGTGAATTCAGAGGTTATTGATTTGCATACACATACACAATGTTACATGAGACACATAAAAGATCTAACCTGATAGTGATGATAAATGGTTCTTCCAAATACGAGTATACCTACCATTTTAGTAACCAGGCATGTGCATTGTGCATTTCACACAATAGCAGCTTTCACGACGGCACATTTGGTAACATTTGAGCGACTTGATCAAAGTAGGCTCATAGTTTGGCAGTAACTGTTCCTTATACATAAATCTGATTTATCAAATTACCCTATTATTTTCGATCTAAACATTGAAATAAATGATGATATGAAGATATTTACCGTAAAAATAGGTTAGATATAGTCAAGTTTGGTGGATTCGCCACACGAGCCGTCGTGAAAACGGCTATTATTCTGAACAATGACAGCAGATTAGCAAGAGTGGCACAAGTGTGGTTCACAAAAAGTCATCGCAGCTTTCGTCGTTACGTCAGGTTTTGTTTCAAGGCGGTTTGCAAAAAAACTTTTTTTTTTGCTGGCATAATGAAGAGCAAAACCAAAGGAATTATGCTTGAAGGTTCTTTTTTAATCTTCTTTGTTGTTTACCTATGCCGTAATTTTGTTCTCACTTGTGAAGGCATTTGGTTTGGACGCATCAAAAGAGGGTGTTGACTGTTGCATCAGAAACATCACTAATTCAAACACTCTTATCTCACTTAAGTTAGGTAAGTATAGGGTTTCGTGACCACTGTTTTACGCATATGCATACACCTGCATTTTCTATGAACATTCTCCCACAAGTGCTCTTATTCAATATACCTACTTGCAGTTTGGAATGCTTGATGTTATACAGCTAATACGAAATACCATAGTCATCGTTATATTTCACCGTTCAAGCTTTATCTCGCACGATGGTCGATGAGCATTTACATACATGGAATATCGCAAGGCGGAGGTGAGGCACGCTTTCTTTTATTAGCAAATGGAATACACCAAGACGTTTGTCGGTATGGATACGTGCTCCACTATAGCCAGTGCAGAGCGACTGTGCCGGTTGCACCAGCCCCCATTCCGGGCTCTGCGGCGCCTATCGTAAAGCCCCGGGCCCCAGCCCGCGCGATTAGCGAGCACGGCGCTGTTTGAGCGACAAACATTGTTGCGGTGTCATCTAGCTGATCAAGTGTGTGCTATCGGTGTTAAGGTCAAGTGGCTCACGAGGGAACGAATTCACACCTCGCCTTCGAGCTCGACACACTCGAACGTGGCTACTGGTGTTCAAACAAGAGAGCTGCAGAGCGGTGCCGCAAGTGAGACATTGTGCGAGTAGGCAGGAACCTTTTATCATAACAGACACTTGGATGATATTACATGATTTATGTCTCAATTGGATAGTTTTTAGAATGAATAACTGGGATGCACTCTTGAAGTTGGTCGTTCCCTCTTTAAAATCAAATAGCTTTTTTAATTTATGTTCCTACCTCCGTCTTCGCGGAGGCGAAACAATATCAAAATATTCCGGATTTGGAAATGTGAAATTACACACAAGACATTTAGGTTAACTGAAGATTAGAAGAAAAAACGAAAAAAATAGAAGCAGTCGTTCGTCAGCATTATCTAGCATGCCAGAATAGAATAAAGGTGCAAATGAGGATAGGCCACCTAAGACTACGACGCTTGACAATATACCTAAGCTGCTTGCTGCTTCCGTCTGAACGACGAGCCAATTGTTGAACGAAGATAAAGGTAGAATTTTGTCTCAAGCAATGACTTGATAGATTCAGAACAAACACACCAAAATCAAAGTGAGTTAGTGAAGCTATACTGCAGCCAGTGATCACATCACAATATCACATATTTTATCCAGAGACCATCAATATGACTGCCAGTTCAACTGCGTATCAACTATCAGCAGACAACCTATAAAGCACCTGTCCTGAATAGAAACATTGATATTGGATAACTAAATAGGTATGAATCTGTTGTAATCTGTACGCTGTAGCCTGTAGGTGATTGTGTCCCTTGGCATGTAAGCATCCTGAAATTTGGACTGTGGCTCCAGCTTCTAGTTCTGTTCACTAGGAAAGAGCATAACTGCATGAACGAGCATGCCAATTTTGTCAGGGTTTATACGGAATTCACGGCAAGACACAACAGACGGATAAGTTTCCATAAACACATAACTACATCAGCGCAGTCTGTTTGCTGGGACCACACCACACGCCACGCCGCAAGTTGATCCACAGGTTCCTCAAGTTAGCCGAACCAGAGCCAAATTTCGCGAAACACGACCTCGCCGGCTCCATTCGGTTGTCGTTTCATGCGACATAAGCGGCTCAGTGTGGGGATAAACCCAACGGAGCGAGAAGGACACTTCACGCCGGCCAACAGCGGGGCGAGCGGGGCCGCTCGCCCGCGCGGGCCGCGCGGCGGCGGCGGCGGTGGCGGCGGCGGGTCGGAATTCCCGGCTCTCGCCCGGCCGGCCGGCCGGCCGGGCGCGGATGGCGCACCACGGCACCCTTCTCTCCCATACAGCGGGGAGACGAACAGTGGGCCGACTAGACTCGGAATTGGTGGCGCCGGCTGATATTGTTTTCATGCCCTTAGTACGGTGGGGAGAGGCAAATGCGGCGGAAAGTTATCACAATCTAGTTGCCTGGCAAGGTGTTGGAAAAGGTTACTTGGTGAAACATCAGAAAGGATTATTACATTGAAATTTGAACTCAAATAGATATCATCCACTGATATCAGCCTATAAAGCCTAAGTATCTCTCAGTACTTATCAATCAAGCGACATAAAAGCGCTCTTTTCTATTTTAAGAATGAGAAATGAAAATGATGACCAAATGCGTGGGACAAGCACGGGGCACAGTGGCTCTACTGACCTGGCCTGAGCTTCATCCAAGCTCTGTTCGGTGATGGTCATGATCTGCTGCAGAATTTCGTTGATGTCCTGTTTCCGCGGCTCGGACTCGCCGTTATTCTGTTGCTGCTGCTGAGAGTTCGGGTCCACCTGAGGCTGCTGCATCCCATAGCCCATGCCATATTGCTGACTTTCCATTATCAGACGCACTCCAATTCACTCCAGCGCGCACCACACTCACAATCACAGCCTAACGGTACTCTCACGTGTTTCTTGATGTTAGAACGTAAGTCACAGATGAAAATAATAACTTATTCAAATACAGGACGTCAATGGTATGATGACCATAAAATCCACCGTCTAGCACTCATTTACGGCCTCGGAGCCGCGCTCGCCGGCCAATGGCGTTCTTTGTTTAGCAGTCATTCTCGGCCAACGGCCCTGAGGAGAGCCTCACGAGTCGGCGATGCGCGCGCCATCTACGCTGAATAACGTGGTGTCTATTTCTTATGATATTTTGAAACACAGTGATCATTTATCAATCAAGGGAGCATGAATATACACACAAAAATATATATTAAAATGTTAAAAACTGCGCAATATTTTTTGCTTGAATAAACACGTAAATATTTGACATATTTTTAATGTTCTTGTAAAGTGACTGCAATTTTAGGGCAAAGAAAGGGAGCTTTGAGTAGTTTTTAATTCAAATGATAATACCTTATTGATCTGAAAATATTTCGCTTCTCGAATATGAGCAGCTGTAGATTGGAAAGTTGTCTCAAAATCCGACCACGTTGACACTAAAAGGCTGCTATACCACATCTTGCCCCTCGAAGGTTGTCGTTCATTGCAGATAACAAGCGCTAAGACAGTTACACTTTATAACTCAAAGAGACATAATATCTAGTTTATCATGTTACCTCCCTTGAATTTACATGCAATGCTCTCAATAAAAACATCCAAGTTCACATGCCCTGTTCGGTTTCGCGGCCGGCCGTAGCGACTGCCATTATTGCAGCGGGGGGCGGAGCAATGGTTGCAATAACTCAATCGCCTCCTCCTCCCGACGAGGCCCTGCCCCCAGCCCCGGGCAGCACGACCATGGGTGTACGGCACCCATCGGCATACTCACCGCACTTCTGAGGACGTTATTTTGGGTCTTGGGTTGGGTGAACAGCCGTTCTGTTGATTCGGTTCGAATGTTAAGAAAACACAAGGTAATTGGCGCTATTCAGTTAAGACGTAAGCCGTATCTAAACAAGTTTAAGCGGACATTCGTTCACTACACGCCATCAACTAAGAATTATTGTGACACGCTCAGGGGGAAAGGAGCAGGCGAAAACGCCCTCTTTACCCTACATACATACCTACATTTGTTGCTAATCTAGGTACTTACCTACATACCTACACCGAAAACAAAACTAAAAGCACCGTTCGCTTGTCGCTCAATTATCATGGATGAGCACTGTAAAAACTAAAAAGGAAGTAGAAGGTATCCTAAACCAGATTTCAATTAGCTAAGAGCAATGCAAAATGGCTTTAACAACATCCTTATGCATATTTACCTACAGTAGGTATTCGTTGGCCACTAAGCCATGAATTACGCCTTCCAGCGCAAAGATGCACTGCGGTACAGCATAGCAAAGCAGTGTCCGGCGGCACAGTCTATCCTATACACTATACAGATCACTAATAGAGGCCTGGATGCCTACAAATGTATTCAGGCCAGGCAGGTATGTGTTAAAAGACGCTTTAATTGGTGCGGTGAAGGTCATAATGGATTTGGAGATGTTACTTGGCTACTACATACATAATACGTAACCAAGACGCGCGGCAGAGACCTTCGTTAAACAGGTCTGAAGCCATTATTATTTGAAACGTACTTAATGTTAGGCATCCAATCCGGAAGGCATCCCTAGGCATCCTGAGGGCATCCAATGCAATATGTTTTAGTTTAATGTCGTACAGCTGGTCCTAATAAATGTACAATCTATTAATCTTATTTGATAGCGACGAGTCGACGAACGATTAAAACTACCTACTATGATTTAGGTGACCTGACGACGTTGTTTTAGCGAAGGTCATTACTGCATTCAATTTACGGTGCGTTAAAATCAACCAGCATTTGGTTTACAAAAAAGTACCTACCTTTGTATTTATATATAAAGCCTACCTTTATATTCTATACCTTTATATTTTTATATATTTTATACCTTTATATATATATTTATACCTTTATATACCTACCTTAATATTAGGAAACGTGCCACAACTCAGCAAGGCTTACATAGTTATGTAAACATATTTGAACTACTGCGTATCAATCACCAGCATACGATTTCACGTTATGTCAAAAAAATGTCGAAAAAATAGTTAAGACCCAAATGCAAACCTACGTTCAGTCGACGAATTATGAATTAACCCGCGCCGTGCTGGTGGCCTGAACTTTCCGCCGAGTGCTGGGGGGGGGGGGGGGGGCGTTTTCACGCCCCCCCCGTCTAACTCGGCTCCTGGGCCACGTAGCGACACGCGGTAAGCGGCAATCGAAAGAGCGTCAAAAATAAGGACGAAAACACTCGGTCATTTTTTGGGTCAGGTCAAAGGTCAGGTCACCAGAGGTCACCAAAGGTAAAATGTTGACTATTTCAACATTTTGGAAACTGCCAACGGCTATCTCGGGAACCGATAGAGCTACAGCGCCGCGGAAAAGCGCATTCGATAGCCCTTTTACAGACCTTTCTGAGTAATGTTCTCAGATTTGACCTCAGGTCAACGGTTTAGCCTCCAGAGGGCAAAAACTCCAAAAATAGCCGTTTTTACGAAAAACGTTTTTTCGTCAATAACTTTTGACTCATAAGCGCCATGACATTACTTTTGCCAGCATCGTGTTCCTCTCGTCGAGACGCGTCGAATGAACTATTTGTTGACCTTGAAAGGTCATTTTGAAAATTTGACCTCAGGTCAAGGTCATGACCTGACCGAAAAGGGTCATGTTGCATATCAGTCGATACGTATCGTCGAGCTGAACACATCTGACGTGTTTTCACCGCTCTAGCACGTCTCTATCAAAAGTTATACCCAAAAAACTGCTGGCGACCGTTCATGACCTGAGATGACCTCAGGGGCACACAGAGGGGTCACAGGTGCATTTTTCCTATTCAGTGTGTCATGTTTACCTATGAACCGATGTTTGAGAGCGTTTTGAACGATATTCGTCCAAAAGAGGCGCATTTCAATTTTCTCCCATTGACTTATAATGGAGAGGTCGCAAAATTGACCTGACCTTAGGTCACAGATATCAAAAATCCGAGATATACATTTTATACATACTGTTACTCATATCAATCGCTGAAAGTTTCAAAGTGATCGTTCAGTCGGTGTAGCTATAGCGAGCCTTTGAACTTTTTCTGAGGTAAGGTCACTTGACGTGACCTGGTGACCTGACCTTGAACGGCCTAGGTCTGAAATTTTCACAACATGTGCGGAAATGATGTAGGAACACGTGTACCAAAAACGGCGGCGCTGCGCGCCGCCGTTTTTGAGATATTCGCGAAAAACCTGAGGGGGGGGGGCGTAAAAACGCCCCCCCCCCAGCACGGCGCGGGTTAACCCGCGCACGGCTGGGATGTTTTCCATTACGCCGTTGACTGGGGAGGCTCTACAGAGCCTCGTTCCCTCCTATCTCCGAAACTACTGGGCTGATTGACAAAATTCAAACAGCGTCTGTCATATGTCAAATCTGTCGTCTGAATCTCTCAAAATGCAAACAGGAAAACTGTTACGAGAAATTTTAGTTTCATTGACCTCGAGATCACCGATGACGTCACAGGTCAGGTCAAAGTTAATGTTATCATCATTTTTGCTTGTTAACAATTTAGTCTCCGGCCGCCGGCTTACAAGTCTGATCAGGCTCATTTTTGGTTTACGCACTCCTTGATATATGGGTTAGATACCCTGAGGTTACCGAGTCTAATTTTTTTAAGACAAGACCAGGTCATCCTAGGTCACGAAAATCTTATTTCATGTATCGGTCGCGTGGTAATGTCGCCTGTGTCGTTCGAGGCCATTTTGAGCGGAATATAGCTGAAGTCTGAAGTCACTTTCAGGTAAAAAGGTCAAATTTTGAAGTTGAAATTCATTCAATAAACAGGTATCTATCAGATGCAGTCTGAGCTCAGATACACGATGGTGCTATCCATTTTGCTGCACAATGTCAAAAACGTACTGAAAAAAAAAATGGATTTGAAAAATCGACAATGGTGAAATTTTGACCAAAATGCGTATAGCTTAGTTATTTCTGAAGATATCGGTAACATCTGCTAGAATGAACATCGACATGTGTTCTATTACCTACAAACGTTCCGTACGCTCTCTCTCTCTCTCTCTCTCTCTCTCTCTCTTTCTCTCTCTCTCTCTCTCTCTCTCTCTCTCTCTCTCTCTCTCTCTCTCTCTCTCTCTCTCTCTCTCTCTCTCTCTCTCTCTCTCTCTCTCTCTCTCTCTCTCTCTCTCTCTCTCTCTCTCTCTCTCTCTCTCTCTTGAAAATTCAAAAACTTATGTGAAAAAATAAACAATATATTTTTGGCAATCGTTTTAATATACTTTTGGAAATTTTCAAATTTTTGAAAATCTAAGATAGAAGTTTGATAGCCACTTGTATTCCTAGTCCTCGCATGCAAAGAAATCGGATCTAGTTTTATTCACGATCGATGGCAACACAAGTCAAATTCCTAAAGCCAGACGTTTCGGCCACAGGGTGCCTTTGTCAGTGGACACTAGTGATTAAATTAAAAACACATAGTATCAAAAACAATCGGTATAAATCGCTCGAAGTCGACCCATCGGGCACAGGTTTCGTATGCATTCTTTGGTTCAACGGTTCAACCGTTGTTCTATGTTCTAGTATGTTCTATGTTCTAGTAATCTTGGGTTCAACATTAAAAAACCTAAATTGAGAACGGCATTCATCACGCTATTGTTCTTGTCGCGTTCTTTTGATATGCTGAAAATTAAGTTATATAATGAATGGACCTACAGGTCACAATGTCAATGTCGGAACGTTTAATTCGCTCGCCTTTTCTCAGAGTCTTTCAAAGTTCGCCAATCACCTTTCGTTTATAAATCGTTTACGTTTTGTTTCCTAGTGCCATCATTGCAGCCGCTTTTGCCCAGGTATAGAATCCAGGTTTTTCGTTCACTGTATCTTGGAAACAGATATGAGCTGATTCCAGCACTGACGAAGGCACCCTGTGGCCGAAACGTCTGGCTTTAGGAATTTGACTTGTGTTGCCATCGATCGTGAATAAAACTCAATCATGTCTGATTATTTACAAATCGGATCTAGCTTAACCCGCGCCCTGCTGGGGGGTGTTTGAACACCCCCTTGTGGTTTTTCGCGAATATCTCAAAAATGGCGGCGCTCCGCGCCGCCGTTTTTGGTAC